TTTTATAAATCACTATACCCGCAAGATATCGCACTTATATCCTGTATACTTTGTATACCCAGTGCTTTCAAGAAACAGAAATGTTTTATATTATTTAAACATTTGGTTATTAACATTAGTTTATGTCTAAGATCCTATTCATTTAGTCCTAATAATTAGATAAATTCTCCCTTCATCAAATATTAGGCTCCAATTTCCACAAAACAAGTTTCTTTGTTATTCTGATAGTTCTGACCTGAGTTCCATATAACCAAACCTTTCTTATTACTGCTTTTTAAATGTATACTTACTTCACGACTGCAAGATACTGCCGTTCTGTATTGTATGTATAAGAATCCCTTGGCGTTACGTAGAGATGTGGCTTCACTCTGCATTCTCTATAGCATATATCATGGAGAGTGCTCCATCCGTGCGAATACCAGCCGTAACTTTCCGCCATCTTTCCACACGGCAAAATTTTCATCCTCCTGAGTTGCAGACGTCTGCTCGTCTGCCCCCTCTAACATAAAAAAAAAACATTTATTTATAATTCTTCTATGTCAGTTATTCTATCTTATACTCGACTTGTCACATAAATTTCTACCTCCCATTACTCCAAGACCCAAAGTCAATCGATTGACGACCGCTCCACATCTCAAGAACAAGTTTAAGTCTTTGCATAATATATAAGTTGTCTGCTGTAAATAAGACATGGCAGACTTAGTAAGTTTTGTTGACGCACCTGCCAGCAACACAGCTTAAGGAACTTTGACGGCTTAAGTTCTAAACACTCTGCCTATTTAGAACTTACGTAATTTAAATATAATGTTTGAGGTTATATGCTAAAACCTATTACGTAGATTAAAATGTTTTATAAGATTTTTAAAGTGAAAACTTCTTTAGGCGCGCATTTTTGAACAACAAACAAAAGAATGTGTTTTTTGACACACTCGCGACACTGTTACCGTTAGCGACACCTCTGTATACGAGTATAAGTATCTACATATATTGGCCCCGTTTACACGAGAGTTGAGTTTGGGTTGAACAACATTGATAATAAAACTATATATAATATAAACATTTATTGTGTAAATACATAAAACATAGATATATATTCATGTCTATGTTTCTTATACTTTATCTTCTCTTATACTTTTCGAATCGCAAAAAAATAAAATAAAGTCGGTTTAGTGACGATAGTTGAACGTGACAACGTCATAAGACACCACATTCACTTTTCACTGCACTTCATACTTGACGAAAACATGTACCTAAATGTATTATTGTATAGCAGCTGTCCACGCGGACGCATCGCTCACTCAAGTAGGAGAGAGACAGATGTCAAACGCTACCGAACACGGAGGCCGATTGTGCCTCTTTGTCGCTCGTTCCGCGCTCTCGCTTGCACTTCAAGCCTTAAATGGAACGCCTCAGAGCGAGGTAACGCCGCATGAGTCATGTATTTTCGTGCGTGCAGCCGGCTCCATCGAATTATAAGACGTTGTCACGTCAAAAACTTTTCACTTCTGTCGGCACTCCCGGAGTGTCACTGTTGTTTTTTCACATACCGTCATCTGCTCTTCAACTAAGCAGACCCTTTGCTGTGGTTACCCAATTATTGATAAATATATGTTAAATATCTCTAACTATAGGTAACTTACACCCAGAAAAGGAAAAATATTCTGCTATTTGTCCCGGGTGGGAATCTGACCACGACCTCAAGCACAGCATACAGCAGCGTCATTCTTGGTTCAGCCGAAATACTTTCGTTTATCAAAACAATATTTATCATGACTGCACGGATGACGTAGTGGTTGAAGCGGTCACCACGCCGCTCACTACTACGCTCAGTGTTGTAGGTCCAATCCCCACATGGGACTACACTTTGTGTGATCCACAAATTGTTGTTCTGAGTCTGGGTGTTCTTTGTGTCCGTTTCATATATATTTGTGAAGTCCCCCGCGACACAGGATATATGCCTAATGCGGGATTTGTCTTTTTATAAAAAAAATAGCTTGTAATGAATCAGTAAAATAAATTTAGAAATTAATTTAAGTATCTACTTTTAAATGAACATAAAAATTGATGTATTTTATAACATAATGGTCTGAATTTGAATAAAATGTATTATTCAGATCCAGTTAGACTTTATAATTATCACTTCCCTTCTCTTAAAGTTAGTCACGCCAAAGTTATCTTCAATAACTCAAAGTCCTTTTATCTAAAGTCCTTGATGCCTCATTTACGTAATCGGCTCGTCTATTTAGTATATTATCTTGCTAAACCCATTTATAATATGTTTAGTATTGCCAGTAATCATTTGTATTTAAAATTAAAATATTTTACGTTAATTATAAATTATATTTAGATGATCAAAGTTAGTATTATGCTATTTTTAAGACCATCTGGTCATGTCGTCTTATTTAGAATGATGGCTAGTTAACTTGTGTACGCCCAGTTCTGAGTCTGGGTGTTCTTTGTATATGTATGTTTGTTAAGTCCCCCGCGACACAGGATATATTACTAATGTGGTGCGGGAGTTGTCTTTAAAAAAATGAATATAGAAACATCAAACAAATCATCAAAATCATAATCATTTTCTTTATTTTTCTGTTGTTTATTAGGTTTTTTAAATGAAGTCGGTGCAAAATGTCTTAGCTGATTTCTATTTCTAGGCCTTCTGAATTATGCCAACTCTCCTTGGAATGGTTTTTTTTTCAGATAGGACTAATTAAGAAGGTAATTTAGGGTAAGGAGTGCCTAGTACCCAAATATTTAGAATCATGGCTCTCCTATGGCTTTATGATCGATAAGTGTAAATAAGTACTATATCTGTGTACTGTATTGTATATAAATTCCTTAATAGAAACAATAACACAGATCAAATAACTACCTATTACAATACAATGAAAATTAATCTAAAACTACACACAATCTAGAGTAGTTTTAATAGCACACCATCGACTAATAATAACAAACAAACAATCAGGAAATTCATCACCGAGAGAGGTTTAATTAAAACAGTTGGCGGAGCAGTGGGTTGGAGTGTTTGTCTTATACATTCTGTTATAATTGCTTGTTGCCTCTAGTTTCAGTTTATAATAATAACAAGTATCTTGATACGATAATATGATGAATACTTAATGTTTAGAATAAAGTCATAAGTACGTAAAGTAAAAAATAAAAAAATAATATTTGTCAAAAAAAATATGCGTCTTTACACATTGCGCCGACTCAAAAAATAATAATTGGAAAACTAAAATAACCAAAATATCAACTATACATTTACTTTAAGAACTTTTTGCTACTCATTTAAGTAGATCATATTACAGTAATCAGATTACATCTAATATTTGAAGTCTAAATTCTGAAGATAGAAGAAAAAGTTCTTCGAAAACAAAACTTGGCTCACAAAGTCGCATGAATAAAAAATATGGAAAACTGTGCAATGCCTAAGACACTGCGAAATTCTCTGAATTATTGAAGATAAAAGAGGACTATGGTTTTCTTCAATAATATTAATTTTGAAGGACCTTTACGTGACCTGGAGTTTTGTACTTCTAAAGTTTTTCTTTTATTTTCGTACTCCATTTATTTATACTTACCGGACACTATTACGGGCTATAGATCTGGCATATTTCGTGGTGTAGTACCAAAATATCAACTTATGTAGCTGAACTTCCAGTTAATTAAAGATGATACAGTTTTATTCACGTGTCTTTTTGAGGATGTCCGTAGTTTGACCTGAGTGTATCCGTGAATTGCTAAATTCACACCAACACCTGCCAATATTAATGTTAAACACAACCTTTTTTGCATCAGGATGCATAATTTCCGTTCCAACTTCCCAGTTGCCGTCAGGGTGTCTGCATGCAAATGCACAACTTGACAGCTATTTCATTTCGCATTTCATGTTCAACACACGGTTTGAATTAAACTAATATTGTGCTTATAATAGACTAGCTGACCCGGCAAACGTTGCTTTGTCTAAAAAAAAAATTTAGGGATGGGTCACCCTTACCATTTAGGGGTATGAAAAATAATGTTGGCCGATTCTCAGACCTACCCGATGCGCACACAAAATTTCATGAGAATCGGTCAAGCCGTTTCGGAGGAGTACGGGAACGAACATTGTGACACGAGAATTTTATATACAAGATTTATGACGTAGATACTTCCGAAATTTAAATACCTTCAGTATTACAAAACAACATAAGCGTCTGCGTCTCCCAAAAGCTTTTGCAACATTTTTTAATTGATGCTCAGTCCTATTGGTTATCAACAGCCTTTAATAGTCCACTGCTGGACATAGGCCTCTCCTTACAAAGGAGGTTTTGGCCTACTATACCACGCTGGCCAGACGGGTTGGTATAGGGATTGTATCAAGTTTTCCTTCTTTTTGCAGTGCTGGTGTCCTGCGTTGTTTTGCGCCCTTAGTCGCCTCTTACGACACCCACGGGATGAATTGGGGTAGTGACATTCCGTATTCTTAATCCGTCACTACACGGACACCTATTGGTTATAGCGTGATGTTATATAGCCTTCCTCAATAAATGGGTTATCGAACACTAAAAGGATTTTCAATTGGAACCAGTAGTTCTTAAAACTAGCAAGTTCAACCAAACAAACAAAGTCTTTAGCTTTATAATATTAGTTTAGATGTCAGCTAACTTATCAAACTTAATAATTATTTACAAATATACAGAGGCCGAGCTAAGCTTTAGGTACAGTAAAAGATAACTGAATATGTTTAAAAAAAATATATTTAAAAGAAATTGCTCGGAAAGATTGGTTTTTATAACATAATTACAGATTAAGGTGTTAGTGACTTTTGAGTTGCGGGTGTTCATGGGCGGCCGTAGTTGCTTGCCATCGGGTACCCCGACTGTTCGTTTGCCCCCTTATACCATAAAAAAAAGTTTCAATTTTTATCAGCATGTTCTGATCAATCTATCGGCATCCTTAGTACTAAATACTCATGGTTTCTTTCACATCAACAATGTCCCCTTGCTTAAAAAAACATGGGTATTTTAATATTTACTACTATTAAATACATACTTGTCTTCTCTACAAAAGAAAAAATAAAAGCCATTTATTTCAATTACACATATTATCTATACAAATAAATAAAATTGGAGTGTCTGTTTGTAATATTAAAATAACCGCTTTTTACTAAATGCATAAGAATGTTTACACGGTACATATGCCAAAATAACATTTTTTACAATATTTGTCTGTCTGTCTGTCTGTTTGTTCCGGGTAATCTCTGGAACGGCTGGACCGATTTCGACGGGACTTTCACTGGCTGATGCTGATGACATAAGGAGTAACTTAGGCTACTGTTTTTAGACTAGCTTCGCCCGCGGTTATAACAACAAACGCGGGTAACACCGCGGGTCTCAGCTAGTAGTTAATAGTTAAATATAAACTATAAATGAATTTGTAAGCGTCCTTAAACCAATAATAGTATAATTATCTTGTGTTTGTATGAAGCTAAGAGGCTTTTAATAACTAAATTGATTTAAGAACAACATCAGTTTATATTGGGGCTAATTTAATATGGTTTGTTGCAGGGCTGCTGTCATGGGACTCAGGAGAGCACCAGGTCGATCTGGAGAAGGAGCTGGCCACCCTCACGGCGCAGGCACCCGAGGGGGAGGAAGCACGATATGGTACGTACTTTGAATTTACCTAAACTTTGATACTGGTGTAAACATTATTGCTACTACTGCAGCCTATCGCCGTCTACCGCTGAACGAAGGCCTCCCCCAAAGAGCGCCAACCATCCCAGTCTTGGGCAGTCCGCAAACATTATTTATTTTAGGAAATTTTATACTCTAACCTTAACTCAGGTATATAAAATCTTATATATACGCTCCATGGCCGGTAGCGACAGTTGTTTTACCGCGGTCGCAACCTTCTGCGAGGAAGTAATCTCGCAGAAGGAGGTGGCGGAGAAGGCCCGGGAGGACGACCTCCACTCGGACCCGATCCGCCGCCGGCGAACCGGGCGGCGGAGGCGCGCCTATCACCGCCTCATGCCGCCCTGAGTGTGGCCGCGGGTGGACGGGGTGGGTTTCCCCTCCATCCGCATTAGTTTGGCCAGCCGCGAGGGGGCGGCGTCCGCGTGTGCCGGACGTCGCCTAAAGAGAGGAACAATTTTGAGGGGTCCGGATGTCTTAATAACAGCTGTTCCCGGATCCCTCCTGTTACAGGCGCAGAGTGGCACACCGTGTGGTTTTAGTCGGTCCGAGTCCGACACACCACCCCGCCGCAAACCCCGGTGGGGTGACGGTCCGAGGGGATTTCCACACGTTAAAAAAAAAAAAAAGGTATATAAAATCTTCTTTACAAAAAAATGTGGAAAAAAAATCACTATTAAATAGGGGATACGTCACAAGAATTGCGAATTTCAAATTTCCACATTTAGGTAGAGAATTTCAAGATTCACTCCAAGATTTTTGGAAGGCGTTACTTGCAGATGACCTCTTACATAAATAGGCACATGCCGCTTAAATAATAATATAGGTACACAGTTCAAAAGATGAATAAATAATTATTTAAATGTTCCTAATTTTAAACCGGGTCAATCAAATGTAGTATACAGGGATACAGAGAGACCAGGGATTTTCATTCCAGGGTACATCTGGTTCACCAGCTGGCGTGTAGTTTTGAGTCGGTTCGAGTCCGACATAACCACCCTAACGGTTGTTGTTGTTGCAAAAAAAGGGGGTACAGTCAGACGAGAATAACTAAGAACAATGAATATATTTTTAAAACATTAAAAGATGTACTCGAAAACCATTTTACATTTAATAGATTTAACTTCATTGGTAAAGAAACAATGAATATAAAGAGAATATATAAAGTAGAAAAATAAATACTCATTGTATAACGTATTATACAAAGTTGCTGAATCAAATCTAACCATTCCATCCTAAAAATACAAAGTCAATTTGTTAAAGCGAATCAAATATACACATACATATAATTTAGTCATGGAACTGAGAGGGTTTTAAACTGTTAATAATTTAGTATCTGTGCTCTAAATCTAGAGAAATGTCCCACTTATTTTATTTTTATCTGAAGTTAAAAACGTATCAAGTTATAAATGCTATGTAATGTTTCACGCATGTTTTTTATGGTATCAAGGCCCACAAGTAGATAGGTTAGGTCTTGCAGTTCTCCATGGGTACCATACCCATGGAGAACTGCATGACCTGCGACCCCCCGAGCGAGAAAATTTGGGGGGGGGGCAGGAGTTTTCTCCAGTTTTCAATCACAACACGGACTCCGGTAACCTCCTCACTCAGTGAAAAGAAGTGAAAGAAATACGTAACACCGGTTTTCTGTAAGGTAACCAGCCAAGCCCCCCGATAAATGACAAAACATGGCTGTCATACAGTATTATTATCATCCTCATTTATTTTGGTCTGACTGTACTTACTTTTCAATATACAGTAAGTAATAAAATAGTTTCTAAACTTCATCCTTTTTGAATTTCGGTTTAAAACCGATTATGTTAACTTAAATGTCTGTAAGCCTTGCGGTTTACCGTAACCGCAGACTATGTAAGCCGCTTCTACCGTCTCAGAGTGGAAACTAGTTTCGTAACTTACAGATTAGGTTATATTGTTGTTAACTGTACTTTAATATTCATATTTATTTATGTTTAAATGTTATTTTCTTAATATCACATCAAATTTGGTTTGATACCGTTTCTGATCCATACTAGCACTATAAATGCGAAAGTGTGTCTTTCTGTCTGTCTGTTACCCCTTCATGCTTAAACCGCTGAACCGAGTTAGATGAAATTTGGTATAGTGATAGTTTGAGTCCTGGGAAAAGACATAGGATAATTTTAATCCTAGAAATAACCCTTTAAGGGGGTGAAAAGGGGGGAAGTGGAAGTTTGTATGGGAAATCAATATCCACTGAACAGATTTTAATGAAATTTGGCATGGAGAGACTTTCATTCTTGAAGAAAGACATACGCTTTTAATGCGATAACTGACATACAAAAGCTAGTTTTAAAATAAAACATTGAATGAAAACACTTAAAGACATTCTGATTTAATTTTGATGGAAAATCTTTTAATATCAGATTTAAAATTACCGTGGAATAGCCTTACTTGGACACAAATGAGTATACCACCACGGCTTCACCGAAAACTGGTGTACCAAGTGAATGAAGTTACAAGAGCCCCGACCTAGATTCTTATCCTTAATTTTGGGGAGGTACCTTTCTCTCTTGAGGTGTCCATTACCAGTAATAGTCAATTACAATCAGGTGATACGTCTTCTCCTTTCTCCCTTATTACATAAAAAGAAATATCTCTGGACGATTTTGCTTGAATGTATGTTAGTTTTACACCAATAAGGTACTAAACTTAAATAACGCACATTAAGTTTTACGGGTTAGCCTTTCTTTTGACACTTCTACTTCTGTTTCTTTAAAAGTAACACTCTTACGGTGTCGGTAACGGTAACAGAATCGCGAGTTCAATCGTTTTTTTTTCCCATTTCAAAAAAAAACATTCTTTTGTTTGTTGTTCAAAAATGCCCAATGCACCTAAAGAAGTTTTCACTTCAAAAAAGAGTCAGTCTTAAAAAAAAAACAACCAATTTAAGTCACATTATATTATTTGGATAATGTTTTAACATATAAACATTTTAAAGTTTTAAAATTAGTGATTTAAACTAAATACAGCTTTTCTGCAGATATTTATGGTCTTTTAATATTTTTAAATGTGCCCATTTCGTGTTCAAAGAACGTCACAAAAATATATAAAACATGTTTAACAATCATAATTTATGTTTAGCCATTGTTGTTTCATACAATAACATATTTACAGAAACTGTTGTTACAATTTACGGGTCTTACATTGTAGGTAACGACGACCATGTTGCAGAATTGAACTTTAATTCCATAAAATATTTGTACGCTGGAAACAGCAGAATATTATGTCTTACACCTGTATCACACCAATATTCTGACAAATAAAATAATAATATTAATAATATTGTACCACATTCACACAACGCCATCTAGTCCCAAACTAAGCAGAGCTTGTACTATGGGTACTAGACAACTGATATAAATACATATATACTTTTTTTTGTAAATACACACTTATTATTCATAGAAACACCCAGACCAAATCAAACATTAAATGTTCATGCACACAAAAATTGACTTGAGCGGGAATCGAACCCGCGACCTTTGGAATAGCAGTCCGTTACACAAACCACTACGCCATTCGGTCGTCGAATCTAAAATAAATCTATTTTTAGTATTTACTGTGAGTTAGAAAACGCTACTACCAAAAATGACGAAGTTTCTCTTTACTTGCCAACCTCCTTTCAAAATCCTTTTTTATTGCACACCTATGACACCTAAGGAAAATTTGTGCAAAATTTCATGCTTCTATTAATCTGATCTATCAGTCAGTGAATTAGTCTGTCAGTTTCTTCTTTTATAGATATACAGGCAAAAGATAGGAGCGGTCAAACTGGTGATTTTTTTTCTTTTTAAGCTATTGCATAGCTTCTATCGCGGACCTAGAGCGTGGACACCGAATCCAGAAATGCCGTAACGAAAATAACCTAACACCCGCCACTCCGACCGGCACAGCGGTGATACTTTTTAGTTTTACCATATATCGATGAATAGCAGAACTTTTAATGACTTTTTTGAAATATCACGCTTGTCTCTTTAGTTCAGCAACTCGCCTATAGGTGACATTGGTTGTGACGCGGTATTTTCCAGATATTTAGAAGATATCAAGTCTCAAACATGTTTCTTATTTCAGTTACCATAAACCTATAATTTCAATGATAAATATTCTTGAATAACCTCCATGTATTGTAAGATAATAAAAATATTTTGAAGAATATTAACTTCTCATTTATTTAATAAAAGAAAAAAAAATGTTTTCTTATCGGTCACCACGCTCAAAAAGTGTAACTCGAATTAATATCAAAGAAAAAAAAACAAAGGAAAAAAAATACTGCATAAATAAAATAAATAAATAATTATAATTGCATAAGTTGATAAAAAATGCTATGCAATAGCTTTACCGCGACAGTCCCCGAGTGCCACACGTCTTTTTTTTTGACGTGACAACGTCTTATAATTCGATGGAGCCGGCTGCACGCACGAAAAAACATAACTCATGCGGCGTTACCTCGCTCTGAGGCGTTCCATTTAAGGCTTGAAGTGCAAGCGAGAGCGCGGAACGAGCGACAAAGAGGCACAATCGGCCTCCGCGTTCGGTAGCGTTCGACATCTGTCTCTCTCCTACTTGAGTGAGCGATGCGTCCGCGTGGACAGCTGCTATACAATAATACATTTACATGTTTTCGTTAAGTATGAAGTGCAGTGAAAAGTGAATGTGGTGTCTTATGACGTTGTCACGTTCAACTATCGTCAGTAAACCGACTTTACAGACAGCCTATTTTTTAGTAAACTTTGTTCCAAGAGGAAAAAATTCTCAACATCTACAAACAGCCATGTAAGCCTCGTAATCATAAATCTATCATTAACAACAATACCGTCAGGCCGCCATCTTGTAATCGTGCGGTTGATTGACAATGATTGATTGCTGACATCTTGATAAACGGTTCCCATATAATTGTATATTAGCTTCGGTAATATTAAAACTATATGCCA